CTTTGCGAGCAGTAGTCCCATTAACACGTGTCATAAAGGTCCTTGGAGGTACGTCAAAAGCTTTGGCAGCTGCAGTTTTTGATGGAAAAAGACCTTTCTTATAGGCTTCAAGTGCTAATTGCATACGCCCTTCTTTTGATATATCAGCCATGACGCGGTGCGTTGGTAAATCGCGATAAATCCGATGATAGGGGGTGGCCGAGGTGGTGGCCGCGCAGCTCGGTGGTCCGCGCAGCTCGGTGGTGGATTACGTTATATTTAATAAAGTGACAAAATAAACAAATAGTCGGTATCGTAAAAAGTAGTCTAGGCAAACCGCTCACATGGTTGGCTGGGAGTCCAAGCTACCTACCTAATGCGGGCGATTGGATAGCTCGGCGGCAATTGCGTTTTCGCCCCAACTTCTGCTCTGCCGGCGCAACTCAATTGATCCCTGTTGTTGCATGGTCGCATGCATACTGCAACGTTCTCGAGAGATCGGCAATGACCAATGCACTTTCTCATGTTGGACGCTTGACATTTGGAATAATCACGTTCTAACTCTTTCTAGCTAACGTGTCTACCTGGTCCTGCCCTTCCCCGGCGGTGCTTGCATTTCAGGCACAGCTCGCCACTATCAACCCCTCAGTTCGAGAACCAGACCTTGTCCAAGACCGGAATCAGATACAGGGAAATGATCCACAGACACCAAAACTTGAACGTGGCCTTATCTGCTCGTACGCTCGGTTTTAGCCTCCTGAGTCTCGTCGAAATGACGGCGGCTAGGGCCATGGTTGGGCCCGAGCTTGCGTAGGAGACTCCAATCACTCTTGACGCGCTCAGAGAGACCAGTGCCATGGATACGAGAAGCACGTTCCTGGCCAGTGCGTCACCCATGGCGATGGGAAGTGTCCTTCGGCCCCGTTTCGAATCGCCTGCTTGATCGTAGAGATCCATGGCGTGTATCCCAGTGGTCACGGCGCAGCCAATCAGGGCCAGCCATCGGATGCTCAGGTCCGAATATTCCAAATCGCAGGTGTTGAGTGCAGCTTGCACGGCGCCAACGAGGAAGCTGAGGTAGCCGCCGGCGTTAATGCAATTTCGGAAATACCAACGGTCGCCCAGACGCAGGTCGTTGTAAGCGAAGGTGAGGATCTGAAGGGATATGCTGGGAAGAATGCCACCGGTGACGGCGCTGGTGATCAACACCAAGGGCCCAAGAGCCGCATAGAGGATTCTGGCTTGAGGCTGGGTGATCGCTTGCGATGGCAATGGCCTCCATGGCTTGTTCTCTCGGTCCTCTTCGATGGAAGCGTCCTGGATCTGATTCGACACGTTGAAGAAGAGAAGATTGAGCCAGACCCATAAAACGACTGTGGGTATTCTTGCCAGAACCTCAATCTGAGATATCCGGGACTCGAAGGGACTTCCTGCGAGAGCAATCGCCAAACTGCAGACAACATTTGGTATCAGGATTGAAAGAACATCGTCTGCTGTGAAGAGCCAGAGCAATTTGACGAAGCGTGCAAAAGAATAAAAGTCTGGAAATGTTTGTTTCGCAATCCCCATGGCTGATCTGAGGCGGAATAAGAAAAGGACGTTGAGCGTGTCACTCAGTTGCTAGGAAAAAAAAAAGATGGTGAATCTTGGAATCTGCCATTCCGCATGTTGTCTGACTTGTTTTTATCATAGAACTGAGATGACCTTTACTTCCTTTGTGCCATTATCGCCCTCGATCCGCAGCAGTTGGTAACAGCCTGATATTACCGTTGTTGAATGACACGTACGATATCGCACTTGAAATCGGCAATCCCTCCGTTTATGAAGCCTAATTTAGCGCACAGATGTCCCAAAAAAAAAGGAAGAAGCAACGACTAAGCCAGCAAGCGGTTGGCGTATCGCCGTATTGTTCTGGCTATTTCTATCCAACATGACACAGGGGTGCAGTGATCACCGTTGTTGTCTACGTTAAGGTGGCAGTGGCCCTGGCCCCCAAATGCAAGGCGACTACTTAGTACACTGTGCTTGCAGGATAACTTGTACTTAGAAATTGCGTCGAAGGCTCCATCTCCCATTCCTAAGATCCTACTGTCGACCTTGCTCACCACAGCTTCGCCTTCGAGTACAGCTATGGATCAAAAAGCTTTGAAAACGAGCCTGCTTTCCGGGCCCGTGCCCGATCTTTCTGCTTTCTTCCTAGGCGTTCTGGCTCATCGTCTGATCTTTAAGCACGGAGAATGGCATCTCCAAGCAACAAACGTCATGAAGGTGCATTGCCTGATCTGGGCGTTGGTCGCGCTAGCACAATCCACCCACCTGGCTCCTCTCGAAGCTCTCCGAACGAGCTCACTGCTGGCCCTTGCTTACGCTACCGGCTTGTTCGGCAGCATCATCATCTACCGAACTCTGTTTCACAGCCTTCGCGAATATCCAGGTCCTCCCCTTGCGCGCATTACCAAATTATGGCACGTCGTTCAATGCTTGGATTCGAAGAATCATCTCCTGATGGAGGAACTGCACAAGAAATACGGCGACTTCGTCCGCACCGGTATGATGGATTGAGTTCCGGGAAGGCAAACACTAACCCAAATATAGGTCCCAATGAGCTGACTATATTCCATCCCGATACTCTCCACACAATCTACGACGGCAATAAGAACCCGTTCAGTAAGCCGGCATGGTACGATAATCTTCGGCCTTACACAGGCTTAAACACCCATCGAAGCAAGTACGTGCATTCGCATCGCCGTCGAATCTGGGACCAGGCGTTTTCTACCAAAGGTAAGTCGCACCCGTCTACAAAGGACGTCAACTGATTTTTTGAGAAAGCTCTGCAATCGTATCAGAAGCATGTCAGAACCTATGGGAATCAGCTCGAGGAGCTAATCTCGAAAAACGTGGAGAAGGCTCTTGTTATCCATGAGTTCTTCTATTGGTTCTCCTGGGACGTCATGGGCGAGCTTGCTTTCTCGAGATCCTTCGGAATGCTTCAAAGCCAGAAGTGGCATCATGCCATTGGAATGCTGCGGAAAGGATTGGAGCTGGTTGGGCCATTCACTCCCGTCCCATGGCTCACTCGTATCGCGTTCGATATACCCATCCTGCCCACTGTCCGCAATTTCCTGAAAATGGAAGATTGGTGCGCCCGACGCATGGACGAGCGTATTAGCGTGAGTTTCTTTCAGTCTCAGACGGCTTCCTAGAGAAACTTGCTAATTGTATCATCACAGCGCGGAGTAGAGGGCTCCGATGTATGGCACACCTCAACTTGTCTTGAACTTTGAAAAACTAATTCTAGCCCAGGTCTCCAGCTACCTCATCGGCTGGTCCGCCAAACACGACCGCTTGACCAAAGATTTGCACACCCTGTACGGGGACTCGATCGCACTGGTCATCGCAGGGAGCGATACCGTGGCGTTCACACTCGTCTACATCTTCTACTATCTTGCCAAGTACCCATCGCAGGTTGAAAAGCTGCGAAAGGAGCAAGAAGGCGTTGATCTTGAGGACTTCCGCCAACTGCAGGCGCTGCCGCACTTGAACGGCGTTATCAACGAGGTTCTGCGGCTCCATCCCGCCGTGCCAACGGGCGGCTTCCGTGAGACGCCTCCCGAAGGCGCTATGATCGGAGGCCGATGGGTACCGGGAAATACATTAATCTGCGCGCCGCGCTGGATTATCGGGAGACGTAAGTAGACATATTGAACGGTTTTTGAATATTTCAAATTGACGCTCGCAGTCGAATCGTGCTTCGAGAAGCCACTTGAATTCGTGCCAGAGCGGTGGTACAGCAAGCCGGAGATGATCCGCAATAAGAAAGCTTTTGCTCCTTTTGCTTTGGGTGAGAAGTGGATTAGTGCTTGCTTTCGCGTGAAATGCTGCTGACCGGACAGGCACCTACTACTGCATCGGCAAGAATCTCGCATACATGGAAATGCAATACGTCGTTTCCTTGCTGGTGTCCAAGTACGACGTCAGATTGGCGCCGGGGGAGACGGGCAAGCGAGTGGTGGAGGACATGGTGGACCAGTTTACTGCGGCGCCGGGTAAACTTCAACTGGTGTTTGAGCGGCGCAAGGAATGAAATGGCGGGAATTACCATGAATTAGCTGTGGTGTTTCCATCACTAGAAGTGGATGCTTCAGTTTGAACGGGTCTTTGTTTTGGTTCGATTTAGTAGGCATTGAATATGGTCACGACTACCCTCAATATCTTTTACCAGCTCATATATATGCAATGACATTCAGTTATATCTGTCCTTTTCGTTACTGCACTTCGTCCTCCTTGATCATCTCCATAATTGGTTTACGGTAGCATTCATCCTCTTATTCTAAGTATAAACAGAAAATTAAAAAAAAAGGCCTTAAACTAGGACCTACTAAGCACTGGCGAGTAGGTTGGCACTGTCATGGAATCAGAGTCAAAAGGAATAATACATCTGACTAGTCCTGATGCAAAGAATGTGATTCACATTCAATACTGTATGTATGTGCTCTTTAGCTTTCTTGAACGAATCAATTAATCCATCTCTACATCTGCATTTCTGTTAACTCTTTGACCATGAGCCCTCTGATGAATTCCTGACCAGAGCAGTCTGAGTATATAATATACCATACCTATAGGTATTCTCTTCTCTTCGACTTCGATTGTGGCGCCTAGCTCTCGTCGAAATGGCTTGTAAGTAAGCCTATGGCACACTCGCTGACCAGACCAGAGAGAACACTTTCACGTCTTTGAAAAGCAAAAAAAAAAGGGCCAAAGTGTTTAAATGCCACACTCCTTTGTTTTTCTTATTGGTGAGTTCATGAAATAGCAATCAATGGCTAACCTAACCTATCAATTGCTGTGTGTTCTTCAAGAAGATGCTGATGTCAGGTTCCAAGTTCCTCCTGTTCCAGCCACGACTACTACCTACCTACTTAAAAGAAAAGAGCTCTTAGAGAATTTTCCCTCCCTCCCTAACTCTGGCACATTCAGATTTTTCTCTCTCTCTCATTGCTATCCATTAATCCATTACTTACCATTTGATTGATATGCCCAAAGCAAGCCATGGATAATAATGGAATTATTACAACTATTTTTTTATGCTAATATTACTTACTGCTGGCATGGCTGCATTCTTATATTATATGCCTCCATTCTAATCCGAGTAATACTATTTCTGTATTTATTTTGACGCATTTTGTCAGGTCTGTCTATAGATAGATTAATTATCACCAGCATTTTTAGTCCTCAGACAAAAACCTGCTAATTTCCTACTACAGACTTACCTGTATATAGCAGTTAACATCTTCTGCAATGGCATCTCTCTTTATTCATTAATAACAACATATTTGCGGTTGCTAGTATGTAGAATTGTAGATATCCTCAAGGTTTCTTTATAGACATTCTCTACTATGTATGTACAGTACATACATACATAATTCTGTCATGGCTCTAGCTCTGCCACATACATCCTCTTAAGCTTAAAGACCTATATATACCTATAGACATTGTACATGTAGGTCGGTAGACTGTCTCTATATACATATATATACCCTATCCCTATCTCTATCCTATTCTATCAGACTACTGGCTGACTGACTGATCTTTGTCACAGTCATATCATGATATATCATATCATAGGTGTACTCCACCTAAATGTATGATTTTTTACTTCTTGCAGCTAAACTGATAGCTACCTAGCTAACTAAACAAACTGCTAACTGCTAACTGCTACCTAGTTGCTAGCTGCAACGAATTTATCCGCCCGGTGAATGAATGATTGGATTGAATTCAAATAAATTACAGTGTACTGTCTTGTTCCGAGTAGTGTTGGCCCCTAGGTACATACCTACCTAACCTAGCGCACAGTAGTACTCCATAGCTACTACCTAGGAGTAGGTGCTGTACCTGGCGTTCTTTAAATGAACATTTTAAAAGGATAAAGTCGAATCAAATAAAGATCTACTCCGTACAGTGCACACGACCAGCGAGTCACTGCATGGGCAAGGCTGAGTGAGCTTGACCAAGTACCTAACTAATCAACTGCTGTTTACGGAACAAAAGGAATGTATACAACGTGAAGTCATACTGTACGGAGTACTCTAGCCTGGATTATATCCGAAGAAGTGTGTTTGTAAAATGCAATGTCATTATGACTCACATATCCAAACAGAAAGCATACACCCCGCTTTCGCTGACCCTCATTGTAACGTCCATGCAGAAGAGAAAAGAAAAGAAACACCCCAGACCACACCAGACACACCAGACACCGCAGTGCAACCAACCAACCCGACCCGACCCTGTGCATCCAATGTTCCGGGAACCGATAACCGCTTAGAATAGAAGACCCAAATCCCATATCCATATGAAGTGAGAAAAAAAATGAAGATAGATACACTGTCGTTTCATGCCCCACGTCATTCACATTTCGTCTGCTTCCATTGCTTCATCCGACTTGGAGATCGTGCCATGTGCCCATCACCAAGGATATCAACGCACAGCCATACACAACAGACTTGGAAATCACCCTGTGAGTCCCAATACAGACGCCTGCCAATGAGAAATGCCAATGAAAAAAAAAGAAAGAAAAGAAAAGAAAAAGAAATGAAAGTCAACAGGAATAGCCATAGGCTAATCCTCCACGCAGAATATAAAAGAAAAGAATAATAAGCGTCAAGCTGGTGGATAGTTGGTGGATAGTTGGTGGATAATCTGAAACGGCCACTCTAAACCGATTAAACCCGATGCACAAGTGCACCGACCGGCAAGACTGTGCATAGCGATCACACACGGCAGTCAACTCGTTTTGCCGGAACGCAAGCGATGGAAGAATCTAGACGCCAGATGTGCAAGGCCGCGGGCAGTAAAAGCTTCTAGCCGTAGAATACTGCAAAATACCATGTACCTCGCTCAACTGTATCTGGTCCGGCCGATTTGGGTCGTATCGGGCGTGGTTTCGCGTAAAATGGGTATCACTGTGAAAGAAGAAGGAAAAAAAAACAAGAAAATAGGAATAGGACGAGGGATGGGTATCAGGCATGACAATGAAAGCTTCACTCCGACAGGTTCAAACGTTATCGACCTTCGCCCGGTCGATCAGGCCCCGATTGCCCCGTACCGCCCGACTGCCTCGTGCGGAGCCACTCCGCCGCGGCTTCTTCCCGCGATACGGGGGTCTTTTGCTCGTCCGGTCGGGTTGAACGTCGCGGAGGGAAGAGCGCGTTGATCTCGGCCGCCAGGGCCGCGGCCGTAAAAGCTCGAAGTTCTCTCTCTTCCCGCTCGTCCTCTTTCATGAGCCGTCGCCGCTCGCTCGGCGACAATTTCTCCCGGCGCATTTTCCGGATCTCGTAGATCACCCACAAGAGCACTTCTTCCGGGGCTCGCGTCCGATGAGCGCCATGCTTCGCCGGGCTCCGAACATATCGTCTCGTCACATCCGTGGCACCATCGATGGAGAAAGCGATGCAGTATGCCAGTTTTCGACCCCATCCTAGAAACCCCATGTCAGTCCGGTCCTTTCGTTTCACGCAAGCTGGAATCAAAGCGAACCTTCCGTGTAGAGCCGGGGCTGGTCCCAGGCCTCTTCGCAGGCATCCACATGCACCCATCTCTTCTGATGCTCCGAATAGACTTCCGTCCACACGTAGTCCTCCGAGTTCCAAACCCATCGGACCCGACTTCCCAGGGCGCGACACAGCATGGTGAAGCAGTTGGCCCACTCGCCCACACGGCCCCGTCGAGTTTGCAGCAACTGCCAGACATCCGAATACCGTGGAAATCGTTCAAAAGCGCCGCAGGAAGGCTCCGAACATCGATACAGCTCGACTCGCGTGGCGCCGCGGGCGGTCTCATCGGGCGTCGGGGGAGCCATGCCGTGGGCAATGGTGGGCATGAAACATCGCGAGCACGGCGGGTTGTTAACGAAAGTGAAGAAAGACCGTTTGAACCACCTGTGGAAGGGTTAGGACGAAAACACACTAACAGAGCAAAAAGGGCCTTGACTCACTTGAGGAGTGCTCGAATGACACAATCCTGGTAGCCCCACTCTGGTTTCTTTCCTACACTGGCCGCTTGTGCCTGGAAGATCTGACATTCCTCTTCCGCCTCAGAATATAGCCGGTCGAGAGGGATCACCGTCAAAGCCTCGTCGAGCAATCCCGGGTTCTCGTACTTGGTCGGGGTGACAGACAGGCCGTGGAGTAGGTTGCGGAATTTCATGGAGGCGGGATCCTGCGGAGGCATGGGTACAATTGGCAAACTTCTGAGCCTAGAGGAGCGCTGGGACGACTGGTAGGAAGGGCATGGTGAAGGTCGTCCGGGGGACGCCGGATACGAGGATGAAGATTGAGAGGGAGACGGAGAGGAGGTGCGGGAGCGAGATCGGCACTGTTTCTGGAGATTGTCGAACCTCTTGGTGAGGATCAGCTGCTCGAATTGCTTCGTAAGAGCCGTCGCATCGAAGGCGTCTGTCGAGGGCGCCCGCTGGGCGTGGTGAGGCCGGTCCGCCATGGCAGCAGTCGGGTCGACCGCCGCAGGGCAACGATTCGAGGGGTCTGTTGAGGATAGGACCGCCAGATTGCGGACAAGAAAAGGTCGTCCTGGATATTGTAGGAAGGTGAGAGAGAGAAACGACGGCGAGAGACAAGGCTCAGGCACAGAGAGAAGCGGTGCTGAAGATGGAGGCAGCCAGAACCAGTCGGTCAGCTAGGGCGACAGCAAGCGCAGCACAGCCGGGTTTGGAGGTCGAGAGGTCGCCACACTTGGCGCTAGGGAGAGGGCGCGCTGGCGGCTCGTCGCAGGGACATTCAACTAAATCTATAAGAAGAGCAATATTGCAGGAAATGGCAAGTGAGTAAGGTCAGGAATGACGAGGAGGGAAGACGGGGTAAAAGGCGCGGCAGGGTTGGGGTGGAGGGTGGCAGGAGGGAGGAGCGCACGCAGCGGCAGACGTAGACGCCGACGCAGACGCAGGCACCGAGCGACAGATGTGCAGGGTGGGTTCGCTACCGCTCCC